GGTTTTTGTTTTGTTTCGGTTTTTGACACAAGGTTGCCCAGTAGCCCCAGCTGGCCTAGAACTCCCTATATAGATCAGGCTGGCCTCGATCTCACAGAGAGCTGCCTGCTTAAAGGCATGCTCCAACATGCTTGGCCTTACATGGTTTTTATTACAGTAGGAATTTAGTTTTGAGCTTTTTGAATCATTGACACTACAATAAGGGTGTGGGGTGAGCTGAGAGTTATTTTCCTCTGGAGATTTAGCACAGTGAGTTTTGTTCTTGTGACATGTGATAGCTCAGGGCCCTTTCCAGTGGACCCCCATAAAACTCTGCCTCCATTCCTCACAGGATCTATTAATAAAGCAGTGAGGTACTTCATGCTTCTTTTAGCAACTTTTCCTCTTCCGAGGTCAATTGCTTTTTGAAAAAGTGTCTCATCGTACTTTCTTTTCTTCTCAAGTCTATCCAAATGAAACTTCTGTGGAGCTTGTCAGTGTAATTGAGGGCTCTGAAGCCTCTTGGTTTTATATCTGTTCATTCTCCTGCCCTACCTTTGTCTCCATGTCTAAGTAAGGTGACCTGGAGGACAAGGTACATGCCATACGATGTAGCTATTAAAAATTAGAGATGACACTTGCAGCTCTAGAGACATCCTTATATTAAGAGAATCCTTCTCGAGGACTTGTCGCTTTCTTGTTGGCATCTCAACGTGTCCTTATTTTTTACACATTGGCTCTTGCCTGCCTGTGTGATTAAGTTACATATGAAGTATTACGAAGTTAATGTGTGAATTTAATTGCTCTCTAACTTTGGATAACTCGCTGTTTTTATCAGTGTTAGAAAGCATCCTCAGGCTCAGAACTCAGCTATGTCAGTTAGGATGGGTCTGAGTAAAGTTGTAGATTTCAGTTAATCAGAAGGCTTGGACCTGGAACATCAAAGAACTGTGTTTGCTTTGCCTGTGGAGATTTGTTTCTTTTTCTAGTTAAAACAGTGACTTAGAGGTTATTGTAAAGGCACCGTGGAAATGATGTTACAGGGATGTTAGAGTAAGTTTTGAGTGGAATTTATGTATTTGGACCTTATTCTAGTAACTGGTTTTGGAGGAAAAAAGGGGTGCCACATGTGTGATCCATATGTAACCTTGATTTACTGAGCTGCTGAACCATACGAGGATGGTGTGTTCTCCTTATTCCTGATCCACACAAAGATCATAGAAGCAGTGCTGCTCTCTCTGCTTTCCTGAGGTGTTACAGGCACAGTATTTTTCCAAGAGTAGTAACTTTCTAAGTGAAAACAGATCATCTGTCCTTTCTCTGTTTGGTTCAGGTGAATGACCTGATTCACAGAGTAATGCAGAATACAGATTATAAGGTTTTTACTGAGCCCTGAGAGCCACATTACAATGAAATTAGTTATTATAAGGTGAGCCGCTTTATAAAAAAAATGGAAAACCAATTGTGTGGAGTTTTAAAATGGGCCTGTACTTTCCAATTTAGTTACTTATATGTATAAATGAAGCTATTTTTATACCTAATTGGGTATATGGTATTCCAGATATAAAACAAGCATGATGAGCTTTATTTTCCACAAGAATCTAACATCACTTCTCCCTATATATATAAGAAGCAAAACAAAACAACCCTTTGCTATCTTAATAAAAAGCAGGTTACATCCAGAGTCCACAGTCCAGTGCTGGAGACTAGTTATGTAGGAACTGTGCCTGGCTGGGTATAGCAATAACACAAAGGACTTAGGGTTAATATTATGATTTCTTGTTCTAGTTTTCGTTCTAGTCTCAAGATTAGCTCCTGGTGAGAAAAAGAGCGCTGCCGTTCAGCTGTTCCTTCCAATCCTAGCAAACAGACAGGAAGGCATACTTGTGCTGCCTTAGGTAGCATTCCAAAAGCTCCACCCACTTACATCTGTTTGTATATAAATTAGCCAGAATTTAGTCCTTCAATTACTCATATCTGCCAAGGAGGATAGGAAGTATAATTTTCTAGTATGAACTCACCTGACACTAAGATATAAAAACAGAAAGCCTCTCTGTGTTAAAGCAGAAAGGAAATAGGAAGGTAGGAATCCAGAGAATCTGGCTGGCCTTTTCTGGTCTATCTTAGGCTTTCTTTTTATGTCATCTGCTGTTTTAAGCACTTTACACAATAGCCTACCAAACAATTTGTACTCAGAATCCCCTTGACTGTCTTCCCACCACCTGTTCATATTCTGAAATGCCTTTGCCACCAGTCCACCACCTTTTGCTCCCTGCAATCATAGTTCACATTTGAGGCCCTTATAGGATCTGTGGTTATAGTTATTATCCATACTCCTTTGTTCTTTTCATTTCTGTATCCTAGCCTATGTCATGAGTAAAACCAAATTAGTTACAGGGTTGATTTCCTATCCTCTGTCACTCTCCTTCCTCCCATATTTTTCTACTATACACTGTATGTAATAAATGGTTTTTTAAAATATTTCTTTTTATTTTATGCCTATGACTGTATTGCCTGTGTGTGTGTAAGTGCATGTGTGTCATGCAGTGCCCAAAGAAGTCAGAAGAGGGCATTGGATCCCTCTGAAACTAGAGTTATAGATGATTGTCAACTACCATGTTGGTGTTGGGAATCAAACCCTGGTCCTCTGCAAGAGCAGCCTGTGCCTTTAATCACTGAGCCATCTCTGCAGTCCCATAATAAATGTTTAATACATATTTATTGAGCTCTAGTTCTAGTTCAGACTTAAGGCCAAGAAGATCATGAGAAAAGATTCTTTTACCAAAATTTTGTAGAGTTTTCATCTACTGGGAAGAAAATATTGGTTATGTCAGCTTTAGAGTATTCTATCAATTTAATAGCTGTTATCTCATCTGTAATTGTTTACTTTGTGAATAGTCTGATAGAAATGCAACTAACAGTTTAATTTAAATACCGATTCCTTAAACTTAGAACCATTAACAGTATTGACTTCTTGGAATGTGTGCATTTGATGTGCCCAAATTAGGGCATTCTGATGAGAACAAACAAAATAAGGGAGAGGATGAAAAAACCCTTGTTGTTAGTAGAAAGCACCTGAAAACACCATAAATGGATAGTCCCCAAGCTGGTCAGAGGTCAAAGGTAATATACAACCTGGAGGCACTAAGTTTATTTCATAAAGTGTCCTCCTCCAAATAAACTTCTTCATGTTTATAAAAGGTGGTTTTAAAGCTACTTTTCATGTTTTTGCAGATGCTTTCAAATTTTAGTTATTCTAAAATGTTATTACTTTGACTTAACATATGATGATTATGAGATATTTCTCTTTAAAGAAAACATGACATTCTGGGTGCCTCAGAATGCTTGATTGTTTAGGTTCCATTCATGTATAAAAATGTTAAGATTAATGAAATATCCCTCTTTATGAACTTAAAAAAATATTTCTGTATGTGCCTCCTACCCCACATGGGTTCTTGATGGTATGGTAGATGTAAACTAGTGGTTAGCATGGTTACTGGCTTCAAGGAACTTGCAACCTAGATAGACAAAATAATTTTACATGTTCCCTTTTTAAGTTTATTGTTATTTATGTGTGTATATGGGTGGAATGTGTGCATATGTGAATGCAGTGCCTGTGGAGTCCAGAAGTGGAATCAGATCCCCTGGAAATGGAGTTACAGGTGATTGTAAACTGCCCAAAACGGGTTCTGGGATTGAACTTGGGTCTCACTCTTAAACACTGGGCCATCTCTCATCCAGCCCCATTACAGGTTTTTAATTCAAAGCAGTCATTATTTATGAGCATATTGGGTAGCAGATATGAAAAGAGTGAAGAAATCATCACATGTGAATTTTTACAGAAAGTCTCATGAAGATACTTGTGTTGGACTTTGAAGGATGACAGAGAAGGGAGAAGATCGCCCACGGAAAAGAGAATTGTATAGCAAAGTTGTGGAGTTGTTTGGGGGCGAGATATCTGAACACTGTAGAATGTTTAACAGCATCCTGTCCTCTATCCACCACCTGCCCAGGAACCAAAAAGGCCACTAGACATTTTCAGATGTCCCCAATGGGCAAAGGGTCTTCCAGTAAGAGCCACTGGCATAGAAAGAGCAGAGTAAACTTCAAGTTATGAGATTTATTTAAGCTATAATTTACAGTGTTTGGGGGTCTTGAGAGAAGTAGAATGCAGTTGATAGGACAAAGGTCAAGCAGGGAACTTCAGATCTGCTGTGGTGGGGTACAGAAAGCTACTGGGAACTGACCAGCAGTTGTTAGGCTTGAGGAGGACCAGGATCATGGAAATTGCTTTGAATAGAAGTATCAAAAAACATCAAGGCCAGCCTGGTCTACACAGAGTGTTCCAGGCCAGCTGGGACTACAGGGAGATCCTGTTTCAATGCCCCCTCCAAAAAAGGAATAAATAAATAAAAACCACAAAAAAATAAAAAAACACAGAAGTATCAAAGAACCTTGTTTTAGTTTGTTTCACTAGTAATCATTTTATTTGTAGAATATCATCAATAAAATAAACATTTTGTTATTCAGTTGTAAATTTATCCCTTTTTTTTAACCACACTGTTGATCAAACCCAGGGTCCCCTACATGCTAGACAAACTCTCCACCACTAAGTTACACCCAAGCCTGGAAAATTATCTTGATTTCATATAGACCCAGAATGTTTGAACTAAAGAATGCTTTGTTGAATTGTATTCGAGAGGATGAGTTTTGAAAGTGTGTGTGAAAGCTTTTGTAAGCTTATAATTGTATGTACTTTACCTTTATTATTTAAGTACTTTTCTCAGTTCACAAAGTTTTCTAGCCCCAAGGGGTACATGCAAACATATTTACATATATGGCACATGCTTGTGTGCATGTATGTGGTGTAGACAGTATAAGGAAACAGTGGTTTTGTGGCTTTGCCACTCTATTGTAAGTGCTTGGATTTTCTTTTATCGTCACACTCATCTGTGACTTTGATGCTGTGTGAAGGATGTGCTGCTAATCTGAAACTAACCCCCGCTGTCCTCTTTCCACAGCTGTGTGCCAACCACAGTGCAAACATGGAGAATGCATCGGGCCAAACAAGTGCAAGTGCCATCCTGGATATGCTGGAAAAGCCTGCAACCAAGGTAGGAAGATGGTGGGAAAGCCATGGCACCTTGAGTCCTGACGGACCCTCGTCCCAATGGTATCCATAGTTTTTTCTCCCATATGTGAACTGCCATTTTTTCTGGTTAAAAAATAACAGAAACGGCAAATGTTGTAAAACGTGTTTTCCCTACTTATATTCACTGATACTGTTTAAAATGTGTTTTGAAGAATCCAGTAGTTGTATCTCTAATATAAAAGTCTTACATTCTAGGGCTTTTGAGCTGGCTCAGTTTGCTGTGCAAGCTGACTACCTGAGTTTGATCCCTGAAACTCATGTAAAGATGGAAGGAGAAAACCAACTGCACACAGTTATCCTCTGACACATGCAAACCCATCACATACACACACACACACACACACACACACAGACACACACATACACACATACACATACTCACACACACACACACAGAGCGAGAGAGGGTGAGAGAGAGAGAGAGAGAGATAAAAATACATAAAAATCTTACATTCTAGAATTTCTTGGTTTTCTACTAATGAGTTGGGAAACCTTGTGTAACTTCAGACCCTGACTTGCCTAGAACTTGCTAGGTGTAGACCAGGCTGGCTTTGAACTCACAGAGATCCA